CCACCCATTCAAGAATACAAGAGTCACCAAAGAAGAAGACATTTTGATTGAGGCACGGGATAATCCCATAAGAGACCCCAAACAACAATTCAAAGTTTAATTCTTTAACCAGGTGCTAGATTGTGCAATACAATCAGCTGAAGAACGTTTCATGCAGCTCAAAGAACACAGCAGTATATGTGGGATGTTGTATGATATTCCAAAACTCCTCACTATACCTGAAGAAGACCTACACCAGCAATGCAGGGCACTAGAGTCAGTGTTGACACATGATGACATGTGCGATATTGATGCGAGTGATTTAGGTGATGAATTGAGAGACCTTTCAAGATACATTTCAGCAGGATCAACTCCAAAGGCTGTTCGGGAATATATGTGCAGAAATAAGATGACCACCCTCTTTCCAAATGCCTTTGCTGCTCTGTGCATACTTCTAACACTTCCTGTAACAGTTGCCAAGACCTTTCAAAGTTTTGACCCAAGCGAGGGGGCATGGGGGCGTCATGTGAGCTCCCCACCTCTGGTGCCAAAATGTTGTGGGTCGGCCCTGCCGCCCTGGAGGGAGAGAAGGAGGACCGCTTCCTGATTCTCTGCCCCATCAGCAGCCATGCCCTGTCCTCATAGCTAACATGCCCCCTGCACCACAGGGTAAAGGAGGGCACAGGAACCAGCTATCCCAGCCCTGCTCTAGCTGGAGACTTGAGGGAGGCTTCTGCTGCACGAGAGGCACAAAGGGAATGAAATAGAGTCGAGAACCTGCCATAATATGAGTCAACAGTGTAACACTATTGCAAAAAAAGTGAACATCATTCTGGGATGTATTAGCAGGAGTGTTGTAAGCAAGACACGAGAAGTCATTCTTCTGCTCTACTCCGCGCTGATTAGGCCTCAACTCGAGTATTGTGTCCAGTTCTGGGCACCACATTTCAGGAAAGATGTGAACAAATTGGAGACAGTCCGGAAAAGAGCAACAAAAATGATGAAAGGCCTAGAAAACATGACCTATGAGGGAAGATTGAAAAAATTGGGTTTGTTTAGTCTGGAAAAGAGAAGACTGAGAGGGGACATGAGAATTGCAGCAAGGGAGGTTTAGGTTGGACATTAGGAAAATCTTCCTAACTGGAAGAGTGGTTAAGCATTTGCCTAGGGAGGTTTGGAATCTCCATCATCGGGGATGTTTAAGAGCAGGTTGGACAGACACCTGTCAGGGATGGTCTAGATAATATAGTCCTGCCATGAGTGCAGGGGACTGGACTAGATGACTTCACGAGGTCCCTTCCAGTCCTAGGATTCTATAAAATATTGCTAGTGCCCCTTAGAGAGACAAGGCGGGGGAGGGGAGGGGAGGGGTCAGATCTTTCATTGGATCAGTTTCTTTGATGAAACAGACAAGCTTTCCAGCTTACACAGAGTGAGCTCCGGGGGAGTAGGATGACCAGACAGCAAATGTGAAAAATCGGGACGGGGGTGGGGTGCCTGTATAAGAAAAAGCCCCCAAAATCAGGACTGTCCCTATAAAATTGGGACATCTGGTCACCCTATGGGGGAGCCCCCCCCCCAGAAGCACACTCACCTCGCAGCACGGTCATTGCACATGCTAGGGCCCCTCTCAGGTCCAGGAAGCCCCCTCACCTCCCCTGGGATGGGTGCGAGGGAGGGCTGCCATCACGTGTGCGCCTCCTCCCCTGCTGCTGCCCCTCATGGCAGCCTCACTGGGGGTGGGGGATGGGGCTGCCCCTTGCCCAGTGTGGGGCAGGAGCGGTGACTGTGGGTGGAGGGGCGGGGGGCTGTGCTGGTGCAGGGTCCTGCCAGAAAAGGGAAGGGTCCGTCTGTCCGAGGCGGAAGGGCAGAGGCAGGGTTAGTCTGTCCTGGCACTAGTGGTTGGGGGGTGCTAGGACCCTGTGGCGGCAGTTGATGCCAGGAGCCAGCAGAACGGAGCGCAGTGCGGAGCTGCAGGGGGAAGCCCCCCACTGCCCCAGGCAGGCCGGGACATTTGGAGAACTTTCTACAGTTTGAGTGGACAGTCTCTGCCCTGTGCTCATTGGCTGTTTGCTCCAGGGCTCCCACTGGTGCTTCACTCAGCTTCACTCTGTACCTGCCCCCTTCCTCCTGCCCCGCCCCGCCTCCTCGCCCCTTGTCTTTCCATGTAGCTAAACCCACCCCAAGTCAATACATCGGGGCACTAACATGCCGTTCACTGGTCACTCTGCTGGTGTGTTCTACCCTTCCCCCACCCTGCCTTCGGCTGGTCTAGTTCCACTGCCAGCTCCTCAGGGCAGGGGGCATCTGCTGTTTGCACAGTGCCCGGGGCCCCATCCTTAGCTGGGCCTCAGACACTATCACAATAGCCACGATTAACCACGCTAACGATGAATGTTAGGTGCTGTGGGTCTCTGCTCTGCTCACAGACTCTAGTAAAACAGCACTCCCGCTTCTTGGTTTTCCGCTATTATCCTGGCTGTTTCTTTCACAGGACCACAATGGGTGTTAATCGCTCAGCTGCAACCAATGGAAGGAGGGTGTGCCAGTGTAGAGGGTCCGTACAAGGGCCCATGAAACATCAGAGCCCTCAGGGTGGCATTCATCCTTGTGCAGGACCCTGTTGGGGCTGACGTGGTGAACAGACCCTGTGTGGATCTGCACAGAGGCGGATTTCACCATCTATAGGGGGCTGGAGGACCCGGCAGACCCTCTGCACAGGGGTAAATGGCTGTAAGAAAGGCCAAGTCACCCAGATTTGACTGTTGTAGCAATGAGAAGGGGTGTGAAGCCCATCCAAACAGTACAGTCATAATGGGACAAATTCATCACAAAATAATGGTGGGGTATGGTTCTCCTTTGGAATTGACCGAGACCAGGGTTCCTATCTGGAAATGTATGGCAGCCAGTAAATAATACCATTACCTAGCTCGTAGACCAGTAGACCTCAAAGTGCTTTACAAAGGAGGTCAATAGCATTGCCTCATTTCACAGATGGTGAAACTGAGGCACAGTGGAGGGGCATGACTGCACCTGGCAGGCCAGTGGCAAAGCCAGGAAAAGCACCCAGGTTACTTGGGTTCCAGGCCATTGTGCGAGCCACTAGGCCACACTGCCGGTGCTAGCTAGCAAGCAAGCGAATGTCTGGTGTTAGCAGATGAGTATAGGTCTGCTGATGTTTAGACATTTGCTATTCATATATTGCCAGATTTACAGAACTAGTGTAAGGTTATGTATTAGTTATTGTTATTATTGTTTGTATTGTGGGGCTTATGAGCCCCCTCCATGGACAGGAGCCCTTTGTGCTAGGTGCTGTATAAACAGAGCAAAAAGACGGTCCCTGCCTCCCAATAGCTTACCGGCTGGGTATAAGTAGGGTGACCAGATGTCCCGATTTTATAGGGACAGTCCCGATTTTGGGGTCTTTTTCTTATATAGGCTTCTATTACCCCCCACCCCCTGTCCCGATTTTTCATATTTGCTGTCTGGTCACCCTAGGTATAAGAGACAGCAGCTGGATACAGACAGGTGAGGGAGCATAAGGAAATAATGAGATTTTGGACAATTTAAACAATTAGATTTTAAACTAGCCGCTATATGCTGTAGTATTATTATCAACTACAACTAAGAAGGCCACTTATTTGTTAAAACTGATCCAGGATAAAATACCTCATTTCCCCTGTAGTGAACCCAGCCCCTTTAGCGGCTATAAATGAATGCTCTGCTTCTGGGGACCTACCTTCAAAATCAACCCTTCACCGAAAACGGGGCTGGTGGCCTCATCCCACTGAGTGCCATACCAGAGACTCCTCAGCCAGCATGGTGGGCAGCCTCTGCTCACAAGAAGTCCAGGGCAGGACCAACGAGTGGGCACTGCGGCGGGAGGTACGACAGCAGAAGCTTGCACAGTACCCATTTGCCCTGGGCCAGGGGCTAGACCAGAGCTATGAGACACTCACGTTCGTAGCCACCTAATGGACATACAAGTGGTAAACCAATAATAATATCATTTGGCTTATTTCGGGAGCCAAACATATGGTGTATTACGGCAGAGTCTTAGGTCTGGTCTACACTGGGAGGGGTGGGGGGTCGATGTAAGATATGCAACTTCAGCTATGGGAATAGCGTAGCTGAAGTCGACGTATCTTATTTTGACTTACCTCGGGTCCTCATGGCGCAGGATCGACGGCCGCGGCTCCCCCGTCGACTCCGCTACCGCTGCTCCTCCTGGTGGAGTTCCAGAGTCGACGGGAGCGCGTTCGGGGATCGATATATCGCGTCTAGACAAGACATGATATATTGATCCCCGATAGATTGATTACTACCGGCCGATTCGGCAGGTAGTCTGGACATACCCTTAGAGACACTAATTTCTCCCTGTCCCCAAGGCGTTCCCTGCCTTCAGGTTGAATTCCCTGAACAGCACTGATTTTCTGTTAAGAAAGGCATTCCTCTCCTGCAGGGCTGGTGGAGTTTTAAGGCTCCATGGTTGTATTACTAACACCCAGAGACATACGTATTTCTTCCATTTTTTTCTAACCTTTCCACATAGGCAAGGTGGGGCTAGGGGGTTGGGGGTTCCCCTGGGTGGGGAGACCCAGAGACTGCGGGGGTACTGCAGAAGGCAGAATCCCGAGAGAAAGGGCATGGGGGCTGGGAGGGACACGGGGGCCAGTGGCAGGCAAGACATCAGCCGGCCTGCAGAGGGCGCTCTGGAGGCTAGAGTGCTAATTCCCTGGACAACCAGCAGGAGGCGCCGTGCTGATGAGTCGTCGCCCCGCCACAGTGCCCATTAAATGGTTTAGGTAGTCTTAATTGTGTCACCTCCTAACTTCTGACTTTGTAACATTAATCATGTTGTTTTCACTTAGCTTTTTGTATGCAATTTCTTAGGTTATTTCACAAAGAAAAATGGAAAACCAAACCGTTTGGAGTGACTGCAGCACACCCCCGCCTACATCATCACCAGGTTTTGAAGTAGAGCTGGCCAAGACAATTCAGTGGAACAGGTTTCCACTGCAGAATGCAGCTTTGTCAAAATTGGAACATCTCACTGGAATGTGTCACTTGTGATCATTTTGGACCAGAGCTGGCTGCTGTGTGTTATGTAAAGCCCCCGCTCAAATGCAATTGTAAGATCTGTAACTTGTATCATTAAGTTCTGCAACCTTTTTGCAGACTTTGTAACTTCAGTTATTGTTAGCATAGCCTTTTAAGTTTTGTAACCTTTGCATGCTCTGTGGCCTTTTCAGGTTGCCACTTGTCTGAACTTCCAAGCTTTGTAATATCCCATCCCTCAGAGAGAGTGTGAACGAGGGAGTGTGAACAAGGGAGTGTATGTGGGATTGGGCGGAGAGGAGCTGCAAGGAGAGAGGAGCCCGGAGCCAGGAGCCAGGAGCCAGGTGTATCTGATATAATCTGCCTTGAGAAGGCAGTCATGAAGTGCCGTAAAGAAAAGAAGAACCTGGTATGCATGAAAGAAACTGGTCTGGGAATGCTTCTCGGTGATGGACACAGAAAGGAAACTCAGTGTGCGTGACAGGAGCCGGCCAGTTCCAAAATAAGAGGAAGAAGGCATGCACACAAGCCCCTGCTTCTTGACCCTCTCAGCAGCCTGGATTCGTGACCACAGACAGACACAGCAGATCTCCCACGCTTCGGCTTCTCGGCCTCCATGCTGTCTCCGGCAACTCTCTGCCTGTGTAAGTGTGTGGGTGCATGAGGGTCTGAATGCAGTGAATGTGTGCGTGTATGAATAAGCTCCATCTCTTTTCTATCTGACCTAACAGCGGCATTGTAATAAAACTAATACAAGTGTGACCCTGGGTTGGTTTTTAGGGGAACAGAGGTAACACTGTGCACCCCCTCAGGCTAGCCAGAACGTGGCCAGGGCAGCTGAGTTTGAGTGACAGCCATTCCAGGAACTTGTCGGGGCCACAACCCAGGTGTGCTGCAGGCAGCAGGGTTGCTGGCCCTTGTCTCTGTTCCAACCAGGTAATGGAGAGGGACTGCATAGCTCCCCCAGCTGCCCCCCCTGCAGGGTGCTTGAGAAAAAGCCCCACCTCAGAGGATCCCATGGGCTATGTCCCCACACTGCCCGTGAGAAAGCGTGCCTTTTGTGTGTACAGAGAAACCTCCCTAGTCTCACAGCGGACGCCAGCCTTGTTGCTGCTCCTTGCAGCTTCCCTCTCCTGTTCCTTTGGGATGCCCCTTGAGCTGCTGCCTCTCGGGGGAGCGTCCTGCAGAGGTGGGACTATCTGAGCTGTAATTCAGCATCTCTGTAGCCGTGGCTTGGCAGGACGCGCCATCCCCCATGCATGGGTGCTTTCCCCCAGCTCTGGTGTCCCAGTGCTGTCTCTCAGGAGAGGCGTTGAGCTTCTGTTAGCTATCTGGAGCTGGCTTTGTTTTCTGGGAGCGTCCCCTCTGTGCAGTCAAACAAATATTTGCAGGGCAGCTTTTGTGCCTGGCCTGGTCCATGCTCTGCCCTGCTACTGCTGCCTGGCCGGGGGAGTTCCAGCAGTGTCCTGCTGGGCAGCTCTGCCGGAGGAGCAAGAACCCTGCAAGGTGGTACAGAATGACAGGTCAGTGGCCTGCCCCAGAGCGCTCCTACGAGGCACAAGGCTGTGTCCCATCTCCAGCTGCCATGAGCAGCCTCTGCCAGCAGGGGGCAGATGACCCCATCTGCATGTCCGCGGGTCTGAGAGAACGTTAATTTTATCCAGTGGCTGGACTTTTCATGTGTGAAAAGAATCAGCAGGTTTCTTTAGTGTAAATCTTAATGGCTTGACACACCCCAAAGTCAACCCCAGTGTTTAGGGGGTGACCCCAGTAAACGTGCCATTGGAGTGTCTCCAACCAGCTGTGTATCTAGAGTTGGCGCACTGTTGGAACCCTTTCTTGCTTAGCCGTGAAGACCTGAACTCACACCGGTGGTGTTGGAGGGCTTCCTCCGTCAGTGAAGGAATCTGCCACTTGAGTCCACCCTATAATATCGCTGAATGACTCGCTGACCATTTTGGTCTGAGGCTGGACTGGCAATCTCTGCTTTCCTGGGAAAGCGTTCTCCTTTGGTTTGAGGAGTTTAAGAAGAGACAGGAAGAGGTAAAACCTTGGCTATTTAAAGCACTTAACTAAAGAAAACTCCATATCTTGAAATTGACAGTAAGTGGAAAATGTGCTTCTGGCTTTTACGTTGGGTACTAAACAAAAATTAGGCCAAGTATTTCATGTATTGTTACATATATTTTCCCATACTGCATGTACAATATACTTTAGCAAACACAATATATAACTGGTAATGGGTTTGGAAAAAGAGATAATTTTCCCTACGGGAAAGTGACTTTCACCAGTGAGACATTTTTCATTTAAATGCTTCTGCTTTAGTTGTAATTCAGCTTTTTGTGTATTCACACTAGTCACTTTTAATTATTCTAATTTTCAAACATGGAGTCCATTAGAAAGTGTAATTCCCCCCCACCCGCAGTGCCTCTGGAATTAGGGCTGCAGGATTCCTCTGCACATGGAGATGTGGGATAGATAGAGTCACAGAGGTGGAAGGATGGGTTTTGATCTGTATAAACTATTTTTGACAGCTTTTCTCATTGCATTTGCAAGAAATGGAACCTGAGACGTCCACCTCCTACTTATCAGTTATAGCTGTAGTCGAGTCTATTTCCAGACACCTATTCCATGGATGAGTTAAATTCCAAAAGAAATATAACCCTCCCTTTTCCAGTGGCAGGGCTCAGCCCTGGGGTTAGCTGGCTCAGTGGTTTAGCATGCTGGCTTTATATATGATAAGACCTGAATTTTAGTCCTGGTTTGGGTCACAAATAAAAACTGGTTGGTGGGCTCTTCCTACTTATCCCCATCACAAAACTAGTGCGCGGTTTGCCAGTGCTAATAGCCTTGGTTCAAATGAAGCCCAGAACAAATGAAGACCGATGTGGGCCTGTTTTACAGACTTGTGCATTTGGCCTGATGGTGGATTTAGCAGATCAGGACTGAGGTGAATTAGCAGATTAGGAGAGGGAACCATTTACCTCTTTGCATCCTCTCCAGCTGGCACTAGTCACCCCGACATTCTTAGGACCAGAGCCAGGCCCCTTTGAATCATAGAAGATTAGGGTTGGAAGAGACCAAAGGAGGTCATCTAGTCCAGCCCCCTGCTCAAAGCAGGACCAATCCCCAACTAAATCATCCCAGCCAGGGCTTTGTCAAGCTGGGCCTTAAAATCCTCAAAGGACAGAGATTGCACCCTCCCCCCACCAAGGTAACCCATTCCAGTGCTTCACCACCCTCCTACTGAAATAGTTTTTCCTAATATCCAACCTAGACCTCCCCCACTGCAACTTGAGACCATTGCTCCTTGTTCTGTCATCTGCCACCACTGAGAACAGCCGAGCTCCATCCTCTTTGGAACCCCCTTCAGGTAGTTGAAAGCAGCTATCAAATCCCCCCTCACTCTTCTCTTCTGCAGACTAAATAACCCCAGTTCCCTCAGCCTCTCCTTATAACATAAGTCATGGGCCTCAGCCCCCTAATCATTTTTGTTGCCCTCAGCTGGACTCTCTCCAATTTGTCCACATCCTTTCTGTAGTGGGGGGATCAAAACTGGATGCAATACTCCAGATGTGGCCTCACCAGTGTCAAATAGTGGGGAATAATCACTTCCCTCGATCTGCTGGCAAGGGCAAACTGTTGACTCATATCCAGCTTCTTGTCCACTGTAATCCCGAGGCCCTTTTCTGCAGAACTGCTGCTTAGCCAGTCAGTCCCCAGTCTGTAGCAGTGCATGGGATTCTTCCGCCCTAAGTGCAGGCCTCTACACTTGTCCTTGTTGAACCTCATCAGATTTCTTTTTGCCCAATCCTCCAATTTGTCTAGGTCACTCTGGACCCTATTCCTACCCTCCAGCATATCTACCTCTCCCCCCAGTTTAGTGTCATCAACGAACTTGCTGAGGGTGCAATTAATCCCATCATCCAGACCATTAATGAAGGTGTTGAACAAAACCAGCCCGAGGATCGATCCCTGGACCACTGTGCTTGATATCGGCTGCCAACTAGACATGGAGCCATTGATCACTACGCATTGAGCCTGACGATCTAGCCAGCTTTCTCTCCACCTTATAATCCATTCATCCAGCCCATACTTCTTTAACTTGCTGGCAAGAATACTATGGGAGACCGTATCAAAAGCTTTGCTAAAGTCAAGGTATATCATGTCCACTGCTTTCCCCATATCCACACAGCCAGTTATCTCATCATAGAAAGCAATCAGGTTGGTCAGGCATGACTTGCCCTTGGTGAATCCATGTTGACTGTTCCTGATCACCTTCCTCTCCTCCAAATGCTTCAAAATGGATTAAAGTCAATAGAAAGACCCTCAGTCTCTTCAGCAGAGTTGGATCAGGCCTGGTTCCAGATGCTGCCACTCTCACTCACGAGCTGTACTTCACTGACAAGTACAGCTGTTGGCTGTATGGGGTACTCGTGGCAGAAGGTGTTACTCAGTAAGGGTGGCAAAATTGGGCCTTGTCACGCTAAATTGACTCTCAGAGTGGTATTGACGTCGAAGAGGCTGCCAAGTGGCCTGAATAAATACGGAATCGGGTCCTTCTCATTTTGGGGATCGTTTTGTTATAGGCATAATTGTTCTGGTAAGTTTTAACATGTGCGTTAGGATTCTAGCAGCAGGGCTGGAGGGTAATAACCCCCTGCCGCTTGAAGCTTCCTTACTCCTCTGTCCCTCTTCCCTATTGCCAAGGTTGTAAGTATTAATACCCAGGCTGGCCACCAGATGTCACTCTCTGCCTGTGTTTTAAACAGCTCCTTGCGTCAGCAATGGCCCCCTTGTCCCTCCCCCGGGCGGAATCCCACAGCAGTGGGCTGGGTGCTGTGCAGCCCGTGTGCTCCTATTACAGAGAGCAGCCTCGCATTCACACCCTGCATTCGAGGGACGGTGAGAGACGAGCCCTCTGGTGGCTCACTGGAAAATGCAGTGTCCCCTGTGCTGGACCCCGTGAAGTGCTCAAGCCCACAACGCAGGGGCTGCAGTGACGGGGCAATAGACCTGTCCTCAGCTAGAGACAGCCATTGTCATTGGCGTGTACGCTGACTGGGCTGGCGAGCTTGCATGCAATGGTGCCTGCCAATCAGCTAGAAGGGGCTCACTGACGTAAGGGCCTGATCCTGCGTGCTTCTTCCCAAAGTACCAAACATTTGTAGCTCCCATGGACCCTCCATGGGCAGTGGGGACACTGGGGGCCTGACCCAAAGCCACTGAAGTCCATGGAAAGACTCCCCTTGACTTCACTGGGCTCTGGAGGGGGGCCCAAGCCAGCAGGTGTTAAGGGCTGGCTTTAATGTCCTCGCCTCTGAAGATTCATGACACACAGCAGTGTGTTGTGTTGCTTGTTTGTCAGACACAGTATCCTTTAAAACCTTTCAGGACACTGAGCTGAGTATGTGCACCCACACTCACTCTCTATATAACCGTGGGGCCGCAGCCATGGCTCTGTAACGAAAGTTGGGAGACAGCTTCCATTATATGCCTCATTTTAATCCTCTGTCTCCAACATTCTGAAAATTCCTGTTTGTCTAAAATGTCTCATCCTGGCTCTTAAGCCAGAGAAGAATTCTTTCCAGAATGCTGAAGGGGAATTGGGCGAAACCCAGTTCTTCCAAAGCTTCCGTAGAAGCCGACCAATCTCCTCAGCAGTGGCTCCTGCACCAGCCATTGTTGCTAGGGCTGAGGGGAAACTTCTGGGGATGTTACTCTGAGACATGTG